CACCACTGGAGTCCTGAACCCGGAAGCGTGCCTGAGATGGAGAGGCTGTGCAACAGTTACTGAACGAATGAATGGGTGATCGAATGAACAAATGAACAGAGGCGGTATGCTTAAACTGAGTAGGGACTGGGCAGTGGGGTGGCGTACGTGACAGAGCACTGCATCAGGGTCAGAAGACTCAGCTCAAGTCCCTGTCCTTCCCACAGCCGGTGGGGCGCACGCCTTGGCTACAGCCCTCATATACAAGATGAGGGGTTTGAAGGAAGCGGCCCTGGCTCTTCCAAGAACAAAGCTGGAGGATTCAAGCCACGCGTGGTCTTGCCCGAGCCTGACCTGCTGTACACGAAGACTCGGGGTCAGTCAAACTGAACGGTTTGCTCTCTTATTCCAAACGCACCTAGCACTTCCTCTTCCGCAGCACTTCCCTCACATTTCCCCTTCTCAGCCCCAGCACTGAGAAAGCACGAGAAACGCTCAACCTAGGAGATGATGGACAAGGATAAAGAACCCCCAGCCTCCAGTGAGCCCTCCTTTCTCTGAAGCCATCACCACCTGATAATGGTGCCTGGTGACCATCACTGTCTCCATTTTATGTGTCTCCCATCTCCCAGACAAACTTGGTCTCCATCCACCATCCCAGCACACAGGAGGCCAAGAATCTATAACTATTACTTCATTTTACTGGATTTGAATGGGAATAACTGAACTCAGGAAATTTTAGCTCTGCTTATATGCCATCAGATTAATTTTACTGAATTTACTGTAAAGGCAGCCAATTAGCAAAAGGACCCAGGCTAGAAGCAGCTCACCGGGCTCACCCGGTGACCTTTAACATGTCACTTGACCCAACGGTTTATGCACTAGAACCTACCAGAGGTGAAACACAGTTTCCACTTCCAAAATCAGAGAGAAAGGGAAGAAAAGGAAACTTAGAGATTTCCAAACATCCGGGAGCTATTTTTGGAAATGAATGACTTTTCCATTCACTCCTCTTAAAAAAAAAAAAGAAAAGAAAAGAAAGAAAGGTATTAGACGGAGAACAAACCAAGAAGTGGTTGTTGATCATCTAAATGGAAGAAGATTCTTACAGAAGCCCACTCCTTATAGCCTGAAAAGCAAGACACTGCCCCATGTATACAGAGACTACCTATAATCTCAAAGAATGAAAAATGGAAAAATCATTATTTGCTTATCAGAAAGTTTATATAATCCCAAAATAGACTCTGCGGGGTAAATATAGTAAACCTCCTATTAATTAACACTGAATAAAGGTTCCAAGAAGGTAGCAATGATGCCATCTGGCCCTGTTATGTGGGGCTCCAACCTGGCAAATTCCAGAACCATGGATTGTTTTCTCCTTAAAGCAACAGCCTGTTCAAAAGATTTTTAATATATCACAGAATTTCTCCATGTGGCGCAGGTCAAACCCCATCTCGTGAACAAATGGATCCCTAAAATCTTTTGTCATGATATAGTCTGGGCCTTCCACCATCATCCTGATCATTTAATACTCTGCTTTGATCTCAAATGTGACATGGTCCACCACTCAAACTGCTCGAGGTTGGCATTTCCAGTAACGTACAACCCCAACTGAGCTATCGGAAACAGAACACTAAGTTTCAACAGGTCAGTCCACCTATAGGTTAATATCAATACAACCCTGCAAGAAGCAGACATATACATGTCAAAGGCACTGAATTTTTCCAAAAGAGGCAAAAAAGTTCTTCCCATATTATCCACCTAAATGGTAAATACCTTTTTATAAAGTGGCCATTGAACTCTGAGTTGATGTATGTGGAACACATATGTGTCACTAATGTAAACCACATACAACTCACACACAGAAACTACCAGTCACAAAAATGGTGAATTAACTTTATTTTTAATCTTATTTTTTTATTTATTTGGCCGTGCCATGCAGCACATGGGATTCTTAGTTCCCTGACCAGGGATCAAACCCGGCCCCCTACATTGGGAGCGAGAAGTCTTAATCACTGGACCGCCAGGAAAGTCCCAACTTTATATTTTTTAACGAAGTTTTTGGGTATGATTCCCAGAAAACTAACCACGAAAATTATATGCACAGTACTGATCTGCAGACACAGTGAATTTAAACCGAAGGTGGGTTCATACTCCAACTAAAGAAATTCTGTTTTGAAAATATTGAGGTTTTTCTTACACATCTGTAGCCACATCTGTAAAGATGTCTCCTCACGTTTGCAACCTCTTTGTTGTAACTTGAAAAAGAAAGTACAGCTACAGTAATTCACCAACACACCCTGAGCTGGCAAGACCCAATGTTGTTAAATACAACATTGAATGGAATTACTATAAAACTCTAGAAGAGTTTGTTTACAAACCTTGGCCCTCGGTAACCTTGCTTATGGCAGCATATTTTATGCTATTAGGTTTAATAAATTATATAGGAAATGATGTTTTCAGTCGGCAACAATTTTCGCCTAACCGACTACATTCATCTATTCCTCCATAATTTCATTTTCCTTAAAAACCTATTTCTTTGCCTCTCCTGACAGTTCTCCATTTGGAAGCTGTTTGGGGAAAGTCCTCTTTTTTTTTTTTTGCGGTACGCCGGTCTCTCACTGTTGTGGCCTCTCCTGTTGCGGAGCACAGGCTACGGACGCGCAGGCTCAGCGGCCATGGCTCACGGGCCTAGCCGCCCGGCGGCATGTGGGATCCTCCCGGACCGGGGCATGAACCCGTGTCCCCTGCATCGGCAGGCGGACTCCCAACCACTGCGCCACCAGGGAAACCCGAAAGTCCTCATTTTTTGAATACCATTTTCCAGTCGTGAATCAAATGCAACTCAAAAAGGGTTTAACTGTCAGATGCACATGGAGAAAATGCTGTGCTCTGACACACGGATTTTTCCATATCATAAAAATCATAAAAATCAATTACAACTTTAAAGGATAACCGGTCACCTATAAAAATCGGCAGGGTTCTGTTGTGAAAGAAGAAGAATGACTATTACAGCATTTACACCCTTCCGTAGACTCCACTTAAATGTCTGTGGCTCGCTGAGCATTCCATACATATTTCGGGCAAGGTATTATGGGAGTTGAAGTGCAAGCTGTCCCCTGCTGAGTTTTCACTAACTATAAAAACAGTGTCTCATAAAAGTGTACACGTTTTTACTTTACACAAAAATGTAAAATGTCCACTTTTGTTCACTCCACCGACAATTTTAGCATTAGAAACAGGGCTTTTTAAAAACCTGTAACATAAGTGATGTATAAAATGTCATTCAATAACACAGATTTCTGGAAAGAGGAACATAGGAAATGTGTATGAAATACATGGAAAGGAAGATTCTACAAGCTGTCTTCTGTGGGGTCTGCTCACCTATGGCCTGGGTTGTACCATTAAAATGGAAACTCTTACATTTACACTTTTCATCATGAATCCACACTCCAATGTAACCACAACTGTTTTATATTACCCTCATAAAATGAGTCTTTGCCTTTTCTAAGCAAAACAGTATTTTTTAATTGGTTCATTTTCCAGTTGTTTGGATTTCTAACAGACATACAGCATAAAAGGGCACCACATTCCAAGCAGTTCTACCAACTCCAGAACCATCCAAGGCTTGATCAGACAGCTGTGGCTCTAGCCTTTGGTTAAAATTATAATATGATCTCACCTGATTTTCAAAATAACTATGCATCTTTTTAAGCCAATAAACTGTGCTATAATCTCTCTAAGTTTCTGAGTCCAGAAGCTTGCCATGTTCAAAGAGAATGTTAGGGAACCATGATCCTTTTGCCTTTCTTTGTTTTTCCCTATCTGAACCCAGAGAAATCTTCAAACAATAATTTAGCAGCTTCCCTCCCCAAAGGTTTATTTTCAAACGCTAGTGCCATGCAGCGCTGCCTTTCCAGTGCAGGTAGGAGGAAGCAGGAGCCTGCCACCACGCTGGGCCTTTTCAAGTCTCAAAATCACTGGGACGCTTGCAGTATTTCCTTTCTGGCACTCAGGCCCAGTGTGGAAAGAAGTTGCTCCAGATAGGACAAGATATCAGATCATCACTGTAATCCCTTGGTTTCAACAGAATTCCAACTCCACAAAAAAATGCCTCTCCCCAAAAGCATTTGAACCACTGAAACCAACAGACAATCGAACAAAAAGTTAACGAAGAAGTCATTACATGAACTTAATTAATCGTAATCTGCTGGTGCTTTTAGAAGCATCCGTTTTTCACTCCGTAGGATTTATTTACGTGAATAATAAGGCAATTTAATGCTCTACTCGGATCTTGCACAAAAAGGAAACCTAAAATTCAACTCTTGTTTTCCCTTTATTCCAAAAGCATATGGGTCTAATCATAGCCCATTCTGACCGCAGTACACAGGCTTTTTCAATCAGAATTTTAACTCCATTTTTAAGGCGCTAAAGAGTAACCGTCACAAGTTTGATGGTTACTCCAAAGAATCGGGAATCCCTGAAGTGTCCCATCTGGCACAGTCTTCGAATGGAAACTAGGTTCAGCCCGCCAGACAAGGAACCCACACCACGAGGCTGGGGCGCACGTTTGTGCTCCAAGATGACAGCTCATCTGGCCACCGCGAGGTCGGGGGCGCCTGTAGGGCCATAGCCGGGTGGCGGTGGGCCGCGGAGGCCCGACAGGGATGGGCAAGACCGCGGAGGAAAAAGGAAGAGAGGGCCATCCGTCAGCCCCTGGAGAGGAAATTCCAGGCGCCCAGCTCCCAGGCGTCGGTCAGCGGGTGCCGTGAGGGAACCAAGTCAGAGTGTCCGCCTCGCGGTGGAGGCCGGGGATTCCGCACTCCTGGGGCTCGAGGCCGGGAGAGGGGGAGCCTCGATCCTCGGCCAGGGGTCCGGGGATGGGGGCGCCCGGATCCTCGCCGGGCGCGGAGGACTCACGATCTTCGCCCACACCCGGAGGCCTCCCGGGTCCTCGATCCTCTCCCTGGGCCCAAGGTATGGGGCGCCCTAATCCTGGCCGGGGCCCGCGCCCCCCTTACCGGTCACGGGGGTCGATCCACGACGTCTGGCGCGTGTTGTGGTCGATGTAGAAGACGCGGCCGTCGTAGTCGCGCGCCTCCTCCCAGCCGGCGGGGAGCGGCAGCTCGGCGCTCTCCCGGGCCCGTGGGGGTGGCGGCGCGGAGGGCGCGGGGGGCGCGGGGGCCGCGGCGGGGGGCGCGGGCGGCGGCGGCTCCCGCGGGGGCTGCGCGGGCTGAGGCGACTCCCGCGGGGCCTCGCGCGGCTGTCCCCGCCGCCGCCGCCGGCCGCCGCTCAGCCACGGCATGACGGCGCGGGCCCCGCCGCCGCCCGGCCGCCCCACGCGCGCCGCCTCCTCCGCCAGCACTAAGGCCAGGCGTCCGGGGCGCGGGGGCGGCCGCGGGGAGCCGCCCGCCGCGCCCGGTGCATCCCCGCCCGGTGCCCGCGCACCGGCGCCCGCCTGCCGCCCGCCTGCCGCCCGGCCCTGCGCGCCGCCGCCCGCGCCGCCTGGGTCACTCGAGTCGCCGCCGCTCGTGGAGTCACAGCCCCAGAGCTGCCGCAGCCGCTACCGGCGGCCCCTCAGTTCCCGCGGCGCGCCCGGCCATCTTCGTTCCTCGGCGCGGCCCGGTAGGGGCGGGGCTACGCAGGCCCCGCCCCGCGTGTGGCCCGCCCCTCCCCATCCCCTTCTCCCTTGGCGGCTCCTCCCCCGCTTGCTGCAAGCCCTTCAATCTCCCTTGGCTGCTCCGCCTCCTGTCTCTCCTGGGGGCTCCTCGTCTCTTGGCTCCTGTGCCCCCCAGCCCCCACCCCCGCCCGCTGCTCTATTACTCCTCCCCAGCCGGCTGCTCCCACCCCCCCCAACCCCGCTCAGTGTTCTTCCGTCTTCCCCTCCTGCTCCGCGCGCTCCTCCCTCTTCTCTCCCGCTCCACCACCTCCTTGGGCCTCGCCGGGAAACCGCACGGGAGCCAGGATGGGCGCCGCCGCGTCCGTCCGCCCCCGGGCCACCGCGGAGAGGAAGGAGGGCCGGGAGGACTGCGCCCCACCCGGGCTGCAGGCGCGGCCTGCCGGGGGCTGACTCTTGGGGCCCAAACAATTCCCGGGGGAGAGGGCGGTCACCTCACTGCACCCATTCTCAGGCCTTGGATGTCTAGGGTCCTCCTCTCTGCCCACTTGGTGGGGGAGGGGAGCTGCGCCCTGGGTCTCCCGAATACCCAGGATGGTCCCGCGAGGGTGGGTAAGTCCCCAGAAGGGAGGCCGAGGGGGCTCCGTGGCTGGAGGAGGAACCCGATGCCGGTCCTCTTGGGTAGGACCTGGAGGACACACCTGGAAGTGGGGAGCTGGGCAGGTGGGCACTTCTCATCCCTGCCAGGAGAGCCCCAGCAGGGCTGATCCGAAGTCCCCACTCTGGGCCACGCCCCCTGACCTGCCCTGAGCTCTTGCATCTTCCAGTCTGGAGGATCCAACAGTGTGAGTGGAGACCCAAATAGGCCACTGCTCGGGCGGAAGCCAGGTCAGCTCCTAAAACATGAAACCTCTATGGTAATTGGTAATTATGCTCCACTCACATCTCATAGCTGGAGAAACTGAAGTCCAAAGATGGGGCTCTCTCTTCCTCCAAATCTGCCAGCTACTACTTCATGTTCCAGATCCCCGGCCACAAGACTTAATGCTGGGAAGTGCAGGAACGTATCAGGGAGGTTTTAAAACACTGTTACCGTGATACAAAAAGATCTGATAAAAACCCTAACAGCAATCCATATCTAGCTACATAGGGGAAGAGACTAGAGGAAAACCTCCCCAAATGCTCACAGCAGTTTGCATTCCTTCAGTGGGATGATTTTTTTTTAATTATTGTATTTACTGTCTAAATTGTTTGTAAAAGGGTTATATTACTTTTATAAGGGGAAAAGTTGTTTTAAAAAAGAATGTGAAGGCATGGAGACTGTAATTGGGACATATCCGAGGGAGGCCTTTCCTCCTCTTCTCCCACCACAACACAGAAACTTCCTTGCTCCCCAAGAATCTGCCCCCACCCGAACATCATATGCCGGAAATTCCACCACGGGAGTCCTTTTAGTCACACATGCACAGTTATTAAATGTCCAAGGGAAAGGGATGGAGCGTATCAAAAAAGCAAATACTTTGTGATCTTGCATGTTCCAGATGCCCAAGTGCTGAGTGTCCCTACCCTGACATCTTCCCTTCTGATCGGCATGCTTTATTACCAAGGAAGCTGCCACTGCCTTGTCCCTCTCTCCCTGCCCACGCTGCAGTCACCTTACCACCCAACATGGCTGGGCTGAAGCTGCAATCCCGCCCTCCCTGCCAGGCATCCTGTCCTTTCAGAATTTCGCAAATCTGGGCGCTATCACTAAAAATTATCCTGAATGGGGCTGGAGTGCGTTGGAGTGACGCCAACCTCAACAGAGAGAGAGAACAGCCACACACGTCAAAGGACTCACAGAAGGAAAGGCAAGATGAAAAAGTATCAGATAAAGAATAAGGGGTGGGGGAAGCTACACCCCACGAGGAGCTAAGAGGCAAGTGCTGCTGGGCCTTTCCCTGAGGACGAGATCTTCTGGACTCCTCAGACTGGCTGCAGACCTACCATAGGCAGGCACTGTGCTGGGCGCTGGGATGCTGCAGAGACCAGGAAAGAGTCTGTGCACCCCCAGCCCGCAAGTCGGGGACTAAACCGAGAATAGGCATTTAGGACTGTGGCTTGTCTACAAACCAAGCCAGGGTGCCAGTTCAGACCGGGAACTCAGGGGAGGCCTTGTGAGACCGAAAGGAAGATGGCTTGGATGAGGAAGCTGAGGCTCCGGTCCTTAGATTCTCGAGTCCTGAGCCCTTGCCCCTTGGCACGTGTAGCCGCAGTCACCAAATACTTGCTGATTTACTAGCAGATACGGCACCTCACCCAGATCTCCCTGGCTGGGGCGCACACCCTTCTGAGAGGATTACCCTTGGCTGACAGATGTCTGAGAGGTGATACTCCCCACCCACGCACCCATCCCCACCCCCACCCCCACCCCCACCCCCAACCCCCCGGTCCCAGGACTGCTCCTGCAGTATGACAGACCAGACCCCTGGCCTTGGTGGGACAAAGTGTAGTGCACCTCACCCTCCAGGGCCCCCACCTGGGCTACCATGGCTTTGCTAGCTCCTTTCCTCTCTAGCCTGCCTCCCCTACCCCCATCCATCACTTGCATGAGAACTACCCCTCCTTGAGCACTGCTTCTAGGGAGGCTGACCCCAGAGAGTCTGCTGTGCTTATTCTTCCAAGCATTTAGCAAATATAAACCGTTTGACCATCGTGACGACATCTACACATAGTCCTAACTTCATTTGCACATTAACAGAGGAGAATTGGGAAGAAATGTCACACGGCGTGCCAGTGGAGACAGACGGAAGCCCCTCACTGAAAAGGCTTTATCCACAGGCCCACCCACGGCCCCTGGACCTCTCTGAGTCAGAGAAGTGAAGCAGGCCAGCCGCATTTGTCTTCCTAAAATGAGCCAACAAAAGGAAGAGACCAAAACTTGGGATGACCGAGGCCTCCATCTTCCCTTGTAATGTTTGCCCCAGGCAGAAACGGATGGTCCCTAAAGACCTGTGCGGGGCATTGGGATGGTAGAGAAGTTGGTGGGGGGGTTGAGGGGAATCTTGCCTCCCCAGCTTTGCCATATATTGGGAAGTCTTGTGTGCGTGTGTTAATTGTTAGGGAGAATAAGGCCTGTCCTTCTCACAGTCAAGTGGGGCTTTCCATGTTGGACTGAAAAACACAAGCATACACAAAGCACTGCAGGGAAAGGAGGCTTTCGTCTGAGCCGAAGGCACAATTATGCATTCTTTATTGCCTCCATATTCATACCACAGCCTTGCCAACAACGAAAAGTACAAACGTTGTAGCGACCTCTCCTCCCACCAAGATTTCTGATGGAAAAACAGCTCAGGAAAAATCCACTTAGGCCCTGGGTACTGGAGATGCAAATATTGATACTTGTTCTCCTTGCAGACCCTTTGGGGAATCCCCTTGCGCAAACTGTTAAAATGCCCTCAAGTGGAGCTTGCAGAATATTTTCTTTAAAATGCTTCTTAAGGAGTAAATCCAACACACTCCTTGCACGCCAGGCAAGCATGCCCAAAGTTTGAAGATTTTTACTCGGATTCCGCCTTCTCTTCCCAAAGGATAACCTTGAGTTAGCAAGGAAGGTACAAAATTGCCTCTATCCACATTCAATACTTGGGAAGCTTCTGGAAAAGAGAGCACCGGGAGGGCTGCAATCGTCATGTCGAAAATGAGAGAAATAAATACTGCTGGAGAAGTCTTGCCTGCTTGTATAAACAATCGCGTGTTCCAGGAAGTGACACAGTGGGTAATTCTACACAATGTGCTGAGAGGAAAACGGAAATGGGCCAGAGTGGGTCTGAAGAAGAAATGGCTCATTGTTTGGCATTCTTTAAATGCTGGAATAGTTACTCAATTATGGGCGCTTCCCATATATTTAAATAATGCAAATCCACAAGCTGCAGAGAAGATCAACTGGAGCTCTGGCTAATTCCTGTCTTGCCGGTTTAGGGTCTGCAGAGGCACAGAGCAATGCCAAGATCCCTAACCCGAGACCTCTCCCCAGGCTCAGGAACGAAAAGCGGGCGGGTGGGGCTATTCCCTGAGGGTTTTTTTCCCCGACTTTAAGTCTTCAACTTTAGACACTTATTTGACTTGTGATCGGAAACGCCCTTGTTTGGCTTTTGAGTGTGGACGGGGAGACTGGGAGCATTTTTCTCAAGTGGGACTTCCTTGACTTGAGTAGATTTGTGCAGTTTTGAGATGAGGTTTTTCTCATGTCCTGATCTTCCATTCCAAAGAGATACAGAGTATTCTGAAAGAGTCAGCTGTGTGAATAAACCAGGCCGTCTGTTTGGTCATTTTAGTGCTTTATTCTGCTGTGTGTTGGCTTCTTCGCGTACAGCAATGCCCTTGGCGTTGGTTCATGGCTGTCATGTTGTAGGCGGACTCGGCATTTGTACCTGGGTTATTAAACTTCAGTTTTAAGAAAAAAAAAAAGTAAGACCAATTTCTTTCCCAAACTTAGAATATTTGCTGTCACCCACTTGCTTCCTCTCCAGGTCTCCCCTCCCAAAGCTATATTTTTACTTCTCCTTCCCAGCCCTTGGGTTGTGTTGCACAAAATGGTAATGAGCCAAATGGAAATGTATTCCAGGCAAACCATAATTTTCAGAAGACACAGCTGCCATGAGCCGGCATACTACACGATGCTTCCTCCTGGCTGGGTTCTCTCCTGTTTAGGATTACGACTCTGGTCCCCTGTGGATTTGGAAAAACAGATTCTTCAACTGCAGACCTCTGCTTTAAGAGCCAAGCAGACCAGCTTGGAAGTCTCAGGCTTACAGAAACAGGAAGGCGGATTTATCTGACACAGAAATGAGCAGTCTCTGGGTTATTAACATTTGATGACGCCAGCATTATAAATTAGTCCCTTTTGTAGCATGAATGGAACAGTTTTGGAACACAGGCAACGTCGGTAGATCCTGAAACAACAACCCCGAGATGTTTGTTATGTATCAGTGCTTTTCAACCAGGGGCGACTGTGGTCCCCAGGGGACATTTGG